TAATGATATTTCTTAAAGTCCAGAATAATTTTATTACCACTTGCAAAGAGTTTATTTCTGCTTCCAGCGATGTCAGTAAGAGCTCTGCCTGAGTAAGTGTGCATATACACATTTCTTGGTGGATTGCACACATACAAGAAGATCCCCTATAACCCATGTTTGTTTCATGAAGAAAAAAATACACTGCAAGTAGCTTTAAATTGCCTTCTACTTTGTTTTGTCTCTAAGACTGTTATTCAAACTCGTGTATTTTTTTTGGTGATTTCTCCATTCTAAATCTAGCACTTCACAAAGACAAATCAACACACTTTGTGAAACTTAAGTTTCCTAAATCTGTAATTATTACTGTACCCGTTACTTGCCAGTGCCCAGAGGAACACTCACATGGAAAGCTGGATGTTTCTGCTTGCTGCTTTAGCAATTGAAAAGAAAAGGGAAAACTAAGGCTGGGTATCCAACTCCTTCTAGGCCTTTGTAAGAAGCACAGTTCTGAAGGCAGGTTATTTTTAATTATAATACTTACAGACAACTGGCACAGAGCACACAAGTATTTCTCTAAGGGAGTATATGTAATGACAGTACTTAAAGGACACCAAGGCTACTTCTTCGATTACATAAGTACGTTGCACAATGACTTTTCCGCAGCACAAACACACACTACTTTCTAAAAGACCACATTGAAGTCACCCATCTAAAATTTAAAAAAACCTTCTACCCACAAAGAAAAGTTTTTTAGTGGGTGACCAGTATATGAACATTGTAGTTTTGTAGAAACCTTCACTGAAAACTTGGAAAATGTCTAAAACAGGAACTCATTAACGAGCTTATTACTTGTGCCATGTGATAACTAATCACCTAATGAGATTTACAGAAGGGATTTATGGATCCTCCAGCTGATGTATGGGTGATGTGCATGCATTCATACATAAGGCCAGGAACTTCTCCATGCTTGGAAAGCAGGACAAATTTCTCTTTAAAGGCTTGTACACGCATGAGAGATGTGCAACACTTTCAGAATTCATCGGAATTGCAAAAAAAACACCTTAATGAAATAAATACACAGATAAATCCATACATTATATACTACTTAACTGTGTATAAGAAATGGTTACAGTCCACACAATGTTTCTACTTCATAATGGGTAGGAAAAAAAGAGACATAGGAAAAAACGTAGGAAAACTGCTATTTTTTTTCAATCTATGATGTAGTAAGAGACACTTTCATACCAGCATAATTACAAACATGCAGATGAACATTTTTTAAGGAGGTGTCCAAGATGAGATGTCTACTCCACGTTTGTTTGTTTCACTCCTTCAGATATATGGAAGAGTTTTATATTTTCTTTTGTTTATTCACAAGGATGATCCACTTTACACCTGAAGAACTAGACAGGTAAGATCAGCGCTCAGGAAGAAAAGCCTAAATCACTGAGAGAGATTTTAACACAGTTGTAGAAAAATCTTCAAATAATTTACTTTAGCTTTAATATCTATTTAGTTCACACCTGCAGAAAACAATCTGGAGAAAAGCCTCTCATTTCAAAAAGAGCACCATTGTGCTTCTTTATGTAAGAGTATGAGACTCAAAGACAATCTCCACCCTGAGGATAAACATGATCTTGTAATAAAGCTGCTTGCTTTCCTGGACACAAGGGTAGGCTGCACTATAGAAACCTGTTCAGTGTGAGTAAACTGTTAAAATAGGAGTCTGAAAAGCAGATTACTTGTTTTCCTCTGAAACAGCACTTTGGCAAAACAAGGAATTCAACAGTTGCTGCTACGAATATTTCTAAGATGAAAAACAAGAAATGAAATGAAAGGTCAAGCTCACTAGAAACAAAGACAAAACAATCCCATTTTTTAATCTCTCACCTTCCAGAAAAACCACAATAGGTACGATTTAAAAAATTATTTCTACCTTACATTTAACATATCACCTATCTTCATTCCTGGTAGCATGCCCAAGACTGGGTAAGGAAAATTTATCTGGACAGATGAAATAAATTACCATGAACTGTATCAGACATTTAAACCATGGTGTCATTTGGTACTAGGGGATATTAGTTAATTACTTTCAGGCTGAACAATGACTTAGGAATATGATTAAAGAAAAGTGAACTCCTGGACATACAAATGAAGTTCAGTGTATTACGATATCCACCAAATCAGAAGGATAAATGGATAAATAAATTGTAATGAAAAGCTTTTATGTTACAGATCTGTAGTTATATTCCTTAATTAGTGACTGAAAATTGTAAGCCTTAAATTGTCATTGCAGATCATCATCCAAAATCTGGAAAGAGCTTTTATGACGTTAGGCACTTCACTCAGGTATCAGTACAGAACAGATTTGGCCTGAAAGGAATATATTTTCTGCCTTAGCTTATAAAAATACCCTTATAAAACTGTGTCTGCAAAATGGTGCAACGGATTAAATTTAATTTGATAAATCTGTCTTGGAGCCATTATCTCCTTCTGGGGGAAAAAAAACCCCAAACCTACACAAATCACTTGAAGTGATAACAATTTGGTAGTCATACTCAAAAAGCATGCTAGGATGTCAACTTTCTACTGATTTTAAGCCACAATATGCTTGTGATAAGTAAAAAAGAATTAATTTAACAGCAGTATTTTTGGTGTATTACAGGGGTACATGGTGGAGTTTACTGCAAATTTTGTAAATGTGTTCTTTTGTCTTCCTATGTATGACATTAGTACAAATAATAACATCTAGCTCTCATATAGTGTTTTTTTAGGAGGAGTTTTTAAAAGATTCAAATATGACTAGTTTACAAAAATGCAAATTAATAATGGGAATTATTAAGTCACTCATAGTTATGATACAGAAAATAAAAAAAACCCTCTCTTTTTCTTCCTTCTCCTATTTCAATGTCCTGTATGAATAAAACTGCCTTTAACAGAAATTCCTTATAACACATCACATTTATGCAGTGCATTATTCACTGCAGCTTTTGCTCTGATAAAAGCACCCATACAAAGGTGAACAGAGCTTCTAAAAACAGGGAAGAACCAAGAAAAATCATTAACAACTTGATGACTGCCAGAGAAGGTGAGAAGAACAACTATACCTCGTCCAGTATTGCTTTGTGAGATTCTACCCTAATACCAACAGAAGTGGTTACACATTGCTAAACATACTCTTTCATTTTATTTTTTTTTTATTCTGCCAAACCCGACAAATTTTACAAGTAAGAAAAACTGCCCTTGATTTTTTCTGATCAAAGTAACTGCATGTATCTCTAACTTGTAAGCTTTGGGTTCACTGATCAAAATGCCATCTTTACAAAAAAAACCAACATTCCCACTTCACACAGGTTCTACTTTAAAAACCTGCCTTAGCTTTCACAGAACCTGTATTTTCATATCTAAACCACCATGTAGTCTCATTTCAAAACTACTGGCTGTCTAAATGTACATCAGTTTCTATATTTTCTTTCAGTGAGAACTAAATCCACTTATAATACAAACTTCCTAAATTTCCAGGAAAAGAAGATATTCTTCAAAATTACTGGATTTAACAACGTCAAAAGACATGTACTTCAAGCATGATGCAAAAAGCCACTAGCAGGTCCTCTCTCTTCTACTCAATTTCCACAGTGTAGCATGAAGAACTTGGGAAGTTTAACATAAGGCAGTTAGACCAGTTTATATTGTTGCCTCCATTTCTTCATATTCTTAGAGAATTTCAGACACATTCACTCATCTTTAAGCTACAGACACCTTGAGAGAGAAACATGCTTTTTTATAGTTAAGCTACCTGAATACATATATTGTGTGTAAACCTCCTGATGAGATTGCAAATCCAGGTTAGTTTGGGATGACCACAGGTACAGCTGAAGTGTTGCACAACCTCATTCACACAACAAAAATCATAGAATCATAGAGTCAACTAGGTTGGAAGAGACCTCAAAGATCATCGAGTCCAACCCTACCGTGGTCACTAGCCCATGGCACTAGGTGCCACATCCAGTCTCAGCTTGAAAACCTCCAGGGATGGTGAATCCACCACCTCCCTGGGCAGCACATTCCAATGCCTGAGCACTCTCTCTGCAAAAAATCTCTCCCTAATATCCAACCTAACCCTCCCCTGGCAGAGCTTGAGTCTGTGCCCTCTTGTCCTGCTGCTGGTTGCCTGGGAGAAGAGACCAACCCACACCTGACTCCAACCTCCTGTCAGGGAGTTGCAGAGGGTGAGAAGGTCTCCCCTGAGCCTCCTCTTCTCCAGGCTGAACACCCCCAGCTCCCTCAGCCTCTCCTCATGGCACTTGTGCTCCAGTCCCTTCCCCAGCCTCGTTGCTCTTCTCTGGACCTGCTCCAGCCCCTCAATGTCCCTCCTGAGCTGAGGGGCCCAGAGCTGAGCACAGGATTCAAGGTGTGGCCTCACCAGCACCGAGTGCAGGGGCAGCAAAAGCAGCTGGTCATCCATGTTTGTGTTCCTACACGTGCACACAGGCATGGGCAAACAATCAGTTTTGCTAACTTTTTCAGGAATTAACTCGGGGAGCAGGGGGGAAGGTTGGTACTGTTTTATTGTGCAGCACCATGAGCACCTGCAATACAATCAGTAGCATCAATTAAGAGTAATCTATAAGATATTGCATTCTTCCAGGAGCAAAAAAGGAATACAGGAGTCATATCTTTGCTGCTCATTAAGCAAGTAATTGGTTAAAACCCTGGCTATGCAGTCAAGGCACAAGGCACCTGCTTCTCACAAATGATTGGTTCATGAGCTTATCCTAAGAGAAACAACAGAGCAAGTTCATTCTACTGTTTCTGTGCAAAAGAGGTTATTTTACTACATGCAGCATCTAGAGAATTAATTAACCAAATCTCCTTATGACCTGTCTCTTAGAATGAAATCACTACGTAAGGTCTTTAGCACAGAATAAATTCCAGGGAATTAAGTCTTGGACTCATAAGGCATTAGAAATAGAACAGCTTCACTTCCCACAGCCCATGTTCAATGAATTTGAACTCACCCTCTGAGTGATGGCTTTTCCCTCTTTGACTCGCACTGCCAATCCAAGGTCAGACAGTCTGCAATTCCCGTTATCATCCAGGAGGACGTTTTCTGGTTTCATGTCCCTGTACACAATGTTGATGGAATGGAGATGCAGAATCCCACAGGTGATCTGAGCTGAGTAATAGATGATTCTCTTCATTTCCAAACCCCTTTCTCCTATATTGTAGATGTGGTACTTCAGATCTCCTCCATTCATGAGGCTCATAACAAGACACAGATGGCTTTTGGTCTCATAGGCATAAGCTAGTGTGACTATGAAAGGGCTGTTGACCTTCTCCAAGATCTCTTTCTCCAGCAGTGCCATCTTCTCCCCACTTTTCTTTTTCAGCCTTTTCTTATCCAGTTTCTTGCAGGCATACATCTTGCCAGTATTTTTCACCTGGATGGCACAAACCTAGAGAAGATGCACATGGAAAGGTAATGAAGGAATTCTACAGAGAGAGACTGGAATATCAAGGCTAGTAGTAGGCAGGAACTAGAGAATCACTGATGCCTATTAGTAGTTGCTGATGCTAACTTCCTTGGAAGAATGTATTAGCTGAGAAAATATGGAAAAAACAAACATACAATCTGTTCTGTTCTGGATGAGTATACGGGGGACCTGATGTAAAGTTCTTGAGGACACCACTAGCAGACATGTATTAGCAAATAATGTGAACAAAATACTCTGACCATGAGAATAAGCAGCACATACAGCTTGCTCTTGCATCTCAAAAAAGGTAGCCTCATTCTGTTTGGGAACAGATCCTGATCTGTGCTATTCCCTAAACTGCAGCTAGGAATTATCTGGGAGCGTGTGAGCTAGCACAGGCTAAAATGGTGCCAAGGAGCAGACTAATAGTTAACTATCTGGACAGTCATGCAAGCTTTTAGAAAGGCACCTGAGCTTTAACGCAGGTCTTCACTAACAGGAGTCTATATCACAGTATAACTCCCTCCTAGTTATGATTAAAAAAAAAAAAAAAATCCCAGCCCAATTTCTGGAAAATTTACAATCTGAAGGGGCCAGTTTTGCAAATCTTTAGACAATTTCTTAATCCAGTGCTTATTGCAAACCCACCTGCTGGTCTTGAAAGGGGAGGGATGATTCACATCCTTAAAATCATAGCTCTTACCTCTCCAAAGCCACCTTTGCCCAGAACTCGGAACTCATAGAAGTATTTTTCAGTTACTGGTTGCTTCTCAAAAACTTTCCATTGGATGAATTTGTCATAGAAGGGGCTGGCCTGGAAGTCCGTGAAGGGCTTGTCTTTAAGGAAGAGTTTGGTTTCCTCCTTGGCCAGATTCACGATGTTCTCATAGTCCTTTGCAGCAGCTGCCTGGCATTTGCTGACCAAGTCAGAGCTCATGAAAGCCAAATAGTTTTTGGAGCCTTCCTTAAGAAAATTGGTAACCATATTCTCCATGGTACTACTCTTGATATTGTCCTCTGCCAACTCCCAGTTTGACACCTCATCCAGGAAGTCCCTAGCTACCAAATATTCTGGAACTGTCTCCAAGAAGTCTCTGAAGAATTTCTTGCCAATGGGCTGCTGCTCACAGATGCTCTCATAATCAGCAACAAGGGACGCTCTATGCTCTTTGCATTGCTCAATCTTAGGCAGTGAGAGGCTCTTGCGTCTCTTTTGTATCTCCTTGGCATCTGCTTCTCCACTCTTCCTTGCCTGGAGGTAGGCCGTGTTGGCAATGAGGTTGTCGAGCCCCCCCATGTCACACATCTTGGCAAGCTCTTGGGGTGGCAGAGCCTGGTTCAGACAAAATGAGTGCTGTGCTGTAGCTGCCCTGCACTTCTTTCTGCTAGTGGTGTGTGAGGGCTTCTGAAAAACACCAGAGGGACTAACTGCTTTTGCATTAAATACCTCTCAAGGATTTTCACTAAGTACCTTTAGGTATATGCACCATTTGTGGAAAGTGACTGGTAAGAGGTTTCTCTGTAAGGAGCTTTGAGTTTGCTATGTATAGCTGAGGGATGACATCCTGGGCAAACCTTCCCACTGGTTCAGCTGGTGTTTGTCAGAATGGGCCCTGATAACCTTTAAATGTACGAGATTCCCTCTACATGCATTCCCTGGCCGCTGAGAACACGCAGAGATTCCTCTTGGCAATACCTGCACCCTCCAAACTCCATGTCACTTCAGCTGCAGCCTGCAGGACAGCCCTGCATCTCCCTTGCTCGACACGGAACACCAACACACTTATCAACAATTACGTAAGTTGGGATCTGGTTTGATAAAAAGCTTTTATCACGAATCTGCCGTGCCTGGAACAGACGTTGACAGAGAGGAACATGAGAAATGAGCGGTTAACTATCACACAATTCAGTGCTTTGAGCATCCACTTCCAAAACCCAAGTTATACCCAACGTGAATGTCTAAGATCCACAGACAGTTCATGCAAACCTTGATGCCTTGCGTGGCTCTGTCTGAGCGGATTACGTACAGAGGCTAAGAGCTGCTGCTGGTCTAAAAATAATGATCCCCCTACGAAACATCATACTGTTCTGACTTCATCTCCTACCCACAGAAAAAGGAAAAATGCTTTTAATCACCAGCCAAATCTTGCCAAGACACTTCCATATCTTACTTTAGCCTCAGTTTATTTTCCCTGCTGAGCTTTATGACAACGTGGCAGGATGAGAAGATGGCAACAGCATATAGATGAGGTGGCATCAACAAAGGGACAGAGCTGATTATAATCAAGTGAAGGCAAATTCCACCTGACTTCACTTGCTGGCTGCCTACCAGGAGGCATTTGTTTTTTCCCCTCAAAAGAACAAAAATTATGTGTGGCACTCCCTAGGCTAAGCCCCCTTCTGCTGTGGAGTCAGGTGATTTGGCGGTTAACACTTTCTTTAAATATAAGGAAGGTATTACGGGAACAAGAAAAGAAGTTTCATGATTCCTCCAGTAGCACTGGGGTCAAGCTGTACTCCTGAGGTCAAGGTCAAGTTTCTTTTTTTTTCTTGGTTTTTTTCCACAGTCTTAGAGCAAGCTGAAGAGCTGAACCACAAAAATCAAACATCAAGAATAATAACAGGCACCTTTCAGACTCCCTACAGTAAGTGCTAAGCCCTTCTTGGCTGCTTTTTGCTACTCTACTACTATGTAGTATTTTGTTTTTCCATGCTTAATCCTGTCTGCATAGAATCCATTTGACATAAAACTCAGGCTTATACTGTATAAAATTACCGTAGAGGTGTATTTTTCTGGGTGTGATTGGGAGGGCCGTGGATAGCAAATGGCTGTGCGTGCATGAGAACCTGGGGCGCTCTAAAGCTGAGTATTGAAATTCTTGCCAGTTCTGCCAGGTAAGTGCAAGCAGGGGGCAGGAGAAGGTTACATAAAGGGCTGAAGAGTGCAGCCAGCAGCGTGGGCAAAACTGAAAATAGCCAAAGGGAGAAATGGGGAATTCTTGCCGGTGGTTTCCATGAAAATGGTGCCTAGAGCAACACATTCCTATAATACCCTGGGTACAGAAAGGCAGAGAAGAGAAAGGAGGTAACAAACCTTTATTTTCAGGTCCTAAAATTCAGCAGTGTCTTTTTTACCTTTAGCCAGAACACCAGCAGAGCTCAAAGAGGGGCGGTACGAGGGGCAGGTAGCTGGGGGGTCCTAAGGCTGAACTCATCCACAACAGGTATTGACATATTCATGACCAAGCAAATCAAGAAAATACCTAATGTTTATGGCACCTGCATAAGACAGACACATCTGCAGCTCCGAAGAAGCATTCTAGTCTGTTAATTAGCATATTTCCCAATTTCTATGGAACATAAACTTCACAAAAGGCAAAATCAAACAATATGATCATTCAACACATATTCATGACTCCACTCACTTTTGAGAGAAGACTAGCTAGATTTGCTGACTTACCCAAAACTGCCCAGCATTTATTAAACACTGGAGACAAGCAGATCAGCATTAATCTATTAGCTGATAAGGGCCATTTCAGATAGTGTTACCTACTCATAAAACACTACGTTTGGGTGAGAGGCAAATCTGATTTATTTTGCATGCACAAGAGGTGAACACTACAGAACTGAAATGGTGACTTGCTAAGAACTCTGGTAATGGAATATCAGGGCATGACTTGAAAACTTCTGTGGTTCAAAACTCATGCAGAGACAGGGACTTAAGCTAATCTCCTTAAAATTCATTACCTTATGTTCTAGATGAACCTCAATTACTGGTCAACAAGATACTCGTAATACGCAAACAGATACACACAAATATCAGCTGGTTTGATTTCAGCATTAATCCTAACACATTTGTGTCGACACCCCTTCGAGCCAACACTTTGGGAAACTCTTCCACAATTTTAATTCCCAGCTGCTCCTGCCACGCACCTGACAGGACCTGAAAGCATGGTTTGGTCCTCTCCATATCTGCCTATAAACTGAATGGCATTCACAGAGCTTACAGGATGGAGCCTGGGACCAAATTCAGGCAGAGAATTAAGCAGTAGGAAAGATACAGTTTAACTATGACAGCTAAAAATTATTTCCACACCCACTCAGATTTCTTCTGCAGAAATTCCGGGAAGAATCCTTTTACACAAACAGAAATACTCCACAACAGTGTCAAGGCTATAGGCACTTCATTGCTGCAGTTAACCTGTTTTACATTTGTTTTCAGTTTTAAGACAGACATCATCTGGGATATAACAAGTGATGTGATACAGTGTACCAGTGACACTGAGGACTTTTTGATCTCAGTGTGTAATGAGACAGAAGTTACATTTTAAAAATTCAGAACATTTTAAAAACAAGATTACAAGTATGAAACATACCCACAGTAAACTCTGCATGTGTGCCTGATGACACAAAGAGTGCCACTGGAACCACTTTATACAGTGAACATAAACATCTTTAAATGTACTTAAACAGAACTAGATAGAAATACATCTGCTGAGAAACACATTGATCTTGAGCATTTAAGATGATTGAAGTAAACAATACATATAATATTGCTTCGCTTTCATCCATGTTTATTAACCATTTTATTAAGCCTGAATTTGTTACAGACTTCAAGCAGTAATTCTACCTCTCCATTACATATATTAAAAAACCCACAGCTTATGTTTGGATTAATAGGAACTACTTTGGATACTTAGGGAAAAGACAAAGTCTGAGGCAAGCACTTAATATCTGTGAGAAAAAAATCCAGATTCATGTAACAAGGATATACTGATGATTGCCACAAAAATGAACCAATGCTTCCAAAATACTGTAACCAATAATTTATTGTAACCAATAAATGATAAAGAAATTTCTATTAATTCTCATGAAACCACAATTTAACATTTTTCCCTAGATTTCATTAGTGCCTGCTTTCCTTGGGATATTTAAATGATCAGTTTTCTTTGCTTTCTGTATTAGCTCACCAGCAAAAGTGTCTCTAGCTAACTGATACCAAATACATGCCTTTGTACCAAAAATCTCTGGATTAAAAATACATGTCTGCATGATCATTAACAGAAATATAAATTTAAAAAGTATGAATGCATTAAATTTTAATAGTATGTTCGTAGAAATCATGTATAGAATATCACAGAGCAACAGACTTAGAGATAGAACGAAAGTCATAAAGAAAACCTAAATTAGAAATGTTTAATATAGTGTGATGGGAAAAGCACATGGCAAATGCTTTACACACTCTTTGTTTTAGATTAAAAAACAGGATAGTTTCTAAAAAACACACTATGTTTTTGTATACAGTAGTACTTAGAAAACATTTCCTTTATCCTGACAGCAAACTATGCAGTGTATCAGACTTACAGGTAAGGTCACCCTTTCAAAACAATTCCTTTATCTATGCAACACATTAATGAACTGTATTTAGAGTATAATCTGCACCACCACATTTGTTTCTGCGCTCCCACACAGGTAACACTTTAATCAACAGATACATTTGCCAATGTAGTGTCTCTCTTTTCAGCTGTGGCACATCTGCAGCAAGACCTCCTCGTACAGCAAAGAGCACACAGCAAAAACACACTGATCTTGTGGCAGATCAACTCAGTAAGTCATGTCATCATTGACATGTTCCGTTCTTTTGCATGAGCACGTGGCACGAGACATACACTACTTCAACAAGTTCAACAGGAAAAAACCTTCCAGTTTTTATTTGCCTATTCTCTGGACTACCCAGTCCTGCTGGCAGAGGGGACAGCGATTATTCTGTTTCACCCACAAGGACATGCAGCAATTGTGGAAGGAATGATTGCATTCTCCCCAAACCACTGAAAGAGAAGAAAGAACATGTTCCAGTCACACTCAGCTGTTCAATCAACACCTACAGCAAGGTCCAAACTATCATTCTCAGATATTTATAGCAACTGGAAGCTTTAGGGACAAACGGGTCATCACTGATTTATCCACCAAGGCTGGACTATTATGATCACCGTGATGACAGTCAGATCTCTGCCATCAATCCTTATCTCCAACTACGAAGAAAAGAAGTGCACATATCCTCACCTTCTTGCATAAAGTGACACAGCTTTGTGAATGTATAAACACATTTATCAGTCCTGTCCAGGAAATAAGTGCAGCTATCTAAGTTCTTCTTCCATTGATCTTCCCCAGTACCAAAATGAAGCCAATGCACAGGTTCTCATGTGAAATGCAGTGTTTGCACTGACGTGCATGGTACCAAGGAGGCACGTGTGACACAGTATAGAGCCTTAAAATGGGACCTGAAACCACAAGTTACTCACAGGCTACGACTGTTTCAACACAACATGAATTGTTATCTATTGTCCATTTACTCCTAATAGTATTAGTTACTTTGCTTTTTTCCCCTCATTAGCTCATACCTTCCTCACTGGAATACAAGGGTGCCAAAGGAGTGCTATATATTGTGCTTTTTCCTCTCTGCCTCAAGTAGGACACTTACCAAGCCAATGAAGGTATCCAGAACAGGAAAATCCTATTCTCATTTAAACAATCATCAAAAAACAACAGTGAATTCAGTTTGAGACAATACACTTCAAAATACAAAGTACAATGGCTTGGAAAGTTTACCACTGGTTTAAAAGTTGTCTTAGAGGTTTAAAGCAAAATCTCTGAGACGGCTTTCACTATTTCCAATATAAATATATCAGAATTAAGATTTTCTTATCTGAGACAGCTTTCACTATTTCCAACATAAATATATCAGAATTAAGATTTTCTTTTGTGTACATGGGTACTGAAAGTATGTTTATGTTTAAACAGAATTATAGCCAACTCAAGTGACTCCACTTTTTCAAATGGAAAGTGAACAAACAAGCCTTTGCCTCCACTACATCTGAATTAAGACTGGGAAAAATACCACTTTCTAACCCAGGCACACAAGGATTTCAGAACACAGGGTATTTATTGGTGTTACCATTGTGTCTTCTGGCATGCATCACAGAAGGAAAAATTAGCTTTTTCCCTACCACTTCAGAAGTGTACATCATGATCTTAAATATGCTCAGGGTGAGAGAAACTTAAACCTTTCAGTTGTGTACGTGTTGACAGCAAATTTGAAGTTGCTTTGCTTTACAGCACAACTGACATGAAAACTATAACTTTATGCTTTACTTCTGAGCACTAATAAAATATTACTAATGTAGAAAGATGACACAATCTATAAGGTAGAACAAAACAGCAGTTTACTTTTGAGCATTAATAAAACCAGTATTCCCTTCAAACTTTAAAATGCACCATACTGAGAGAAGCTTCAATTGAAAAACAAGCGAATGAAATCACTACATACCAACACAATCTTCTTGTTTGTTTTCAGCTTGACATCTAAGACAGGCATCTAAAAGTAAACAAGAACAAGACTCAATTTGATTCTCAGGATTCCATCTTAAGAATAGGTTGGTCAGAGGAAAATATATAACTCCAAAACAAATTTACAGAGGTAAAAATCCCAAGTTTTGATGTGCAGTTCAGCCCTTTAATATTTAACAGGCCCCCCTAAATTCTAAAACTACACAAATGACAACGAAATATACATCTGAAAGAGATCAGAAGGACTACAAACTGTCCAACAAGTTTTGTTTATTTTCCATTGCTGTGGTATTTTCATAACTTTTGCTGAAAAAAAAGCCTTCTCCATTTTGTAGATGTAAAAACCAGCAGATCTGTGCCAAGGCACTCAGGCGTATTAAGACCAGAGCAAAGCACAAAGCCAAACCCTAATTACAGGACTTTGTTTTTCAGATGTCAGCATCTCCTTTTAAGGAAATCATTCACAATTTCGATTTTTAAGGCTGCACATCTCTCACCACAACCCCCACCTCCTATTACTTATTATAGTACTTTTCCTTAACAAGCACCTGCACGTAATTTTCACAGGAGTCAGACAGACATGCAAATACAGTGGTAAATTCGATAAAATAAATTAAACAACATGGAACAGTATCTAATTAAAAATATTTATCATCTTTCTGCACTCCAGTCTGTGGCTATAGGGCTGGAGGGCAGGTTTGGGACTCAGTAAGATACAGAAGTGACAGCTTCCAGGCTTAGCACTGTGACACACACATAGAGTGGAAAAATGCCTCTGCTCCTCCTTTGCCCCAGCACAGGCTGCTGCAGGCACACGTGCACACATCCTGCACAGTACAAAGTGTTCAGCCGTTATGGGAGCGAACACATCTTCACCTCCTTCAAAGGAAAGTGTCCCCAGGTTGGGTATGGCCTACATGTCACTAGCTGCACCTTATTCTCCTAGAAGACAGAAACACAATGTGCTACAGGAATTTAGATTTGAGTATTTTTGCTCTCTCTGCCAGACAGGGCCAATACTTCTGTTTCAGATTCACCTGCCCAGACAGTCCTCCCTTCCTCAGGTGATAGAGAACAAAGAGGACAGAGTTAGGGTGGTCACAGACAGGAATCACTGTTAGGGTGGTCACAGACAGGGATCACTGTTAGGGTGGTCAGGCAGTGAATAGGCTGCCCAGGGAGGTGGGGGAGTCACCACCCCTGGAAGTGTTTAAGAGGCATCTAGAAGACAGTGTTTAGGGTTTACAGTGGAGGGCCAGGTTAATAGCTGGGCTTGATGGTCTTAAAGGTCTCTTCCAATCTTGTTGATTCTCTTCTATGAAACTGAAGCAGCTGGCCTTTCCTTGTTGAGATGAAAGTAAAACGGTAGTTTCCTGTGGCCTCTTCCTACAATTTATATTTCCATGCTAGTTAAGGTGCCAAACTGCTTCAACTTGTATCATGGTACGTGGGACGCACTGGTTGGGGCAGTAAGTGGCCTGTCACAATAAAAGCAGCTGTCCTATCTAGCCCTAGATTTACAGTTTCAGACAGAGAAACACCACAGAGAGCAAAGGACAGGAATCACTGCCACCACACCAAGCTAAGCTGTCCCCACTCTTCTCACAGCCCTAAGGGCGTCGGTGTGAAAGGCTAAGGAAAGCTAAGTCAGTACTCCTGCATTTTTGCTTCTTTCCCTTATGCATCTAAGACCATGTTGGTTCAAGGAGTTAAACCAGTAGAAAATTGAGTCAGCTAACACCTCCTTCCCTTGCAAAAGTCAAACAAACTAACTTTCAACAAGTGCCAGTCTAAGCCTGGCACTGCCTCCAACCTAAGGTTACTGCAGACGCAGTGGCTCTACAGGAGCCAGACCAGGTCTGGCAGGGTCAACATGCAATTGCTAAACTGAAGTCAGTAACGATCAAGTTTCATGTTCTAACAATGTGCTTTGTTCTCAACAAATGGTTACTAGATTCTTCTGCTAGTTTCAGATTAAAAGGATTCCCTTGGTCTAGTTATGAAAAAATACGAAGGTAATATTTGAACTTCTATAATAGTTCTGGGTAAGATTTTGTTCATTTAATATTTTTTATAGTGTCCTATAACAGGCTATCTAGAACAAGGATAAATACATGCTGAAAATAATGGCTTAGATGGCAAATGAAGCCAACTGAGTATTTCCAGGGTGCTCTCTGTTTCCCATACAAAAGCAGGCTACCTCCAAAACATGCTTATGTAGAGGTGCATCTCCCACCACTTCAATCTGGGCTGCATCTTTTCTTCTCTAGTACACACTTTACCTCTTCTGTTCCACAGAAGCTTCTCAGTAAAACCATACACGAGAAATGACAGCCTTGCACAATCTGTCTCCTTTCTGTTCAACCAAATCCCGACTGGATTTGCAGTGTCACTGTTCCTGGACCTCCCAAAACTGAGAGCTCTGGAGATAATCTGGACTCATTCCTCCTACCAAACTGTACCTAGCCCAGCTGCGAGGGCAACTAGCTCGAATGACTCAGCACAACAGGAAAAACTCGATATGCACATACAGCAGAGGCAAAATTTCAACAAAACCCAGAGGAAGAATTTCAACAACAGTAAAAGCATCAAGACCTAAATGTAAAGACAGCAGCCACCGCTTCCAAACACAACCTCCAAATTTCACAACCAGCCAAACTAACCCTTTCCTTTCCAACTGAGATTTCAGGACCTGCGTGGGCTAATCGGTAATTAGGAAACCTGAGGAACAGCGTTAGATACTTTGCCTTAAGAGGGTCGAAAAATATAATCGAAAAATCCACATCCACAGACTCTTTAACCGTCTGAGCTCACGGGGAGAGGCCGCGACAGGCGATGGGCCGCTGGGCCCCGCGGCCTGTACT